TGGGGTCAGGCAGCCGGCCCTTCCTTCTCTTCTTTCTCCGCGACCCAAGATGCTCCGGACCACTTTGGTCCAAACACACAGGGCCTCTGCTCCCAATGAAGGCAGGGCTCAGTGAAGACACCTCCCTGTGAAAGTGGCCCTAGGGCCACACACACCTCTTGTCGGGGTCCTGGACCAGCAGCCTCAGAGGCTGAGTGCCTGACACCAGATGCTCCTTGGGGGGAAGAAGGGTGAGGGCCCCGAGCCAGATGTGGCCCAAAGGGCCCTCCCTTCCTTCCCCGGCTCAGCTAGCACGGGGCCCCACAGCATCTGGGCCAGTGTACCGCCTGCGTCCCCGCGGCAGTGTGTCACCCACGCCCAGGAGGGCGTGCGGACCTATGGGCCCGCCGTGCCGTGGAGGTGAGCCCGTTTGTAATGTGAGCTGTCTGTTGAATATAATTTACGTCCTATAATTTGAAGTAATTTCCCTGTCAGCCGAGAACTTACTGGCATTTAATAAAAACACCCACTTAATACACAGCTAATAAATCTCAAGTGTCCCGTTTCTGTCCAAGCGGCTGGAGGCCTTGATCTTGTCACTGTCACAGTCCCACTGAGTCTGCAGTGGACCGGAAGCCTCTGGAAGCCAGCGCATGATCTTGAGGAGACCGACACCTCCAAGCAAGAGTGGGGACCCCACCCCTTCACTGTGCACACGACCCGTAACCACACTCCTATCACCTCCCTCCAGAGCCCTGAGGCGCACGCTGGACGGGGTGACCTTTCAGCCCTGCTCTGCCTGGCAGCGTCACAAGGGGTCCCGCCCCGCCCGGCCTCTGAGCCAGGGCCCTTCCCCTCCCCCTCCTGCAAGATCCTGGGCCAGAGCCCGGCCCGTCAGGTCCTCTCCCTCCCTCCAGGCCCCTTCCTGGAAGCTGGTGGACACACGCAGTCTTTAAAGTGGACCAAAGAGCCTCCCTCAGCACTGTGTCTGCTCCCGCTGCCACCCTGGTGTCCCCACACCCACAGCCAACATCTCAGAAGACCAGCCAGCACCCACTGTCCCCCCTACTCTGCCCGGAGACAGATCCCGTCACACCCCATGCAAATGACCTGTGTCCCAGCTCCGTGACCTTGCTGCGGCTCACCCAGTCTCTCTTCTTGGCCTGTGGACTGTGATTTCCTACCTTCCTGACGGTCCCTCCTCTCACCTCGCTGCCCCCACTCATCCAGCCCCGGCCTCTGTGTCCCTGCCCTGGAGACACCAGGTTCCCCCCTGGCCCCCCCTCAATCCTCCAATTCAGTACGTCCCACACGGACCTGGTTATCACCCCCCACCTCGGCCTCCTTCTGTGGCTTCGATCTGAACGACACTCCCGACCCCCGGGTCACCCTGCCCTATCTGCAGACGGCTACTCCCCCCTAACAGTGACCAAGGCTGGTCACTTCTACTTGCTCAGTGTCCCTTACGCACAGCCCTTCTGTCCTGGCTCTTGCCTTATCCTGGTTCAGGGCGGCCCCCAGCTTGAAATCCTCCTGCGGTTCTCTGCAGCCTGCGGGGCGCACGAGCTCCCCCCACCCCCGCCACAGCCTCACTCGGGCCCACGACCTTGTCCCGGGGCAGCTGGGGTGCCCTCTGCGCCTCCCCACCTCAGGGCCTTGGTTGATTTTGAGGTGTCCTGTCCACCCTGTCTGCCAGGCAAACGCGTCTTCGGTTAAGCTAAGGTGTTTTGCGTCACGTCCCTAATGCAGGACAGCCTCTGTGGCACCCCGCTTTGCAGAAAGATGACTGGGACGAATGGGGTAACTTCTACCGTCCGCCAGAGACACTAAAATGTGACAAGGACCACGATCTGAACCCGAGCTCGCCACTCGGAAGTCCGCATTCTCTGTCATTCTGCCCTCCGGACGGCACTGGGGACGCTGGTCAGAGCCGAGGCTCCGCTCAGGATGGTCAGGGTGGGAGAAGCAACCGTGATCTGGGACTTCCAGCACAGAGCACTGGACCCCTGCACCAGGCTCTGCATGGAGCAGCCCCGTCACGTGTGGTGAGTGCGAGATGGGAGGCTGCGCCAGGGGCCACCAGCTCAACACGGGGGCCTGGTGACGCCAGACCACACGGTCTGTGCTCTGTGCAAGGGACCACTGCTTTTTCAAAGTCTAGGTAAATAAACAAAACTGCCTTATTCTTTGCGCCTTCCTTTCTTTCCCGGTCACACTGGTCTGAGGATAACAGATACGTGAGCCTTGACAGCCCACCCGCTGAACAGCCAAGAAAAACCTGAGGAGAAATGGGGCGGAGGCTGCCTGTGGGACACGTGGCACCTTCCTTCCCTGCTCAGAAGCAGAGGTGGCCGGGCGCCAGTTCTGGGAGGCCCCTTCCTCTCCACGCAAGGGCAGCCTTTCCTTTTTAAAAAATTTTTTTGACGTTTTATTTCTTTCTGAGAGAGAGACAGCGTGAGCAGGGGAGGGGCAGAGAGAGAGGGAGTCACAGAATCTGAAACAGGCTCCAGGCTCTGAGCTGTCAGCACAGAGCCCGACGTGGGGCTCAAACCCACGAACCGCAAGATGATGACCTGAGCCATAGTCAGACGCTTAACCAACGGAGCCACCCAGGCGCCCCAAGGGCAGCCTTTCCAACAACCCCCTCACCCATGGGAGAGCGTCCCTGTCACAGGCAGCACCTGAGAGATACAGGGGTCCCTGCACGGGGAGGGGGGGGCCCGGGTCACATCTGGGACACTTCCAAGCCTGAGGCTCCACAACAGGAAGCAAGCTGGGTTAAAGCTACCCAGTCTCAGAATTCTGCCACTAGGAATACCATTCTAGAAGGTACCCAGGCTCCTGGGTGCCAGGGCCTGGGGCCAGGATGTGAGTGCCTGGGGGAGGGGCACAGACAGGGTCATCTGGCCCTGCTCAAATCGAGTCACGTCAACAGCAACCCATGTGTGTGTGTGTGGGGGGGGAGTCTGGAGCACACGCTTCACACAGGCCGATGACACCTCCCCAGGGAGGCAGTGGCCCAGCCACACCCTGCCCCTGCCTGCTTCCCCCCTGCGGCGTTCCCAGCACCCAGGGTCTCTGGGTGTCTGGAATCCAGCCCCTTGTCCTCCCGACGTGCCCTGCAGGCCCCTGCTGCGTCAGAGAGCGCGGGTCTCTCAGTGACGACACCGTCCCTGAGTTTGGGGAGAAAGCCACGGAACAGAGAACTAGAGTCGGGCCCAGTGAGGTGCGCACAGGCCTGTGGGCCCAGCCTTCCGGCCCAAACTATCCCCACTGCCTGCTGCGGGAGGAGGTTTGTGTGCATGGAGGGGCCAAGGCACCAGGGACTCCCCAAGGGCCGAGGCCGGGGAGGGGTGGGGGGCGGGGCCATGGGGTGTGGAGGAAGCCCGGCCACCTGCTGGTGACCCGGTCAGCAGTGGGCCACTTGGCGGGCACATCCGGCCGCGGCCGCCCACCCTAGACTTGCCTGTTCCCAACCCTGGGTGGATGAGCGACTGCCTACTTCACGCGAGGAAACTGAGGCGGGGGGGGAGGGGGAGTCGGGACTGACCCCGGCGGAGCTGACTGAAGGGTCTAAGCCAGGGCTCAATTACACTGGCTTCACTTTGTTTCTGCAAACGCTGGGCACCAGCCCGTGGCGGCTGAGTCACTGTCCCCTACTGCCCGTAATCAGGACGAAGCGGAGACCAGCTGTGAGCTGGGGGTGGGACAGAGGGCGCCGGGCGAGGTGGGGGCCCCGCCCCAGGCCAAGGCCGGCCTGGTCGGGTCCTGGCGCAGAGGCCACAGGCCAGAATGATCCGCAGACAAGGGCTCCCTCCAGGTGAGGGCCTGACGGTTCCCGGGGGCTGAGGAAGCCCGGGCCACACAGCTGGTTTGGGGCCCAGACGTGACCCCGGGTCCTGTCTGACCCTAACCCCGTGCCCCCAGCCTGAACCGGCTCCTGCCTGGCGTGGCCGCCGGTGGTCTGGGTCAGGCAGCTTAGGCTCCACGAGGGAAGCTGCGGGGGTGTCTGGACGCCCTCCGGGCACACGCCTGTCCCAGCGCCCTCGGACCCCGCCGCCTGGAGCCCTGCCCGGCCGGCCGGGCCCCCCGACACCCCGGGAAGGCAGCCGGTCCGCCCGCCCAGAGCGCCCCGGCCGCGGACGAGGTTGGCCCCGTGATTCCCGGCTCACAGGGCGCGTCCTGTCCTCACAGCAGCCGAGAAAGGTCGCGGGTCCGGACGAAGACGCGCCCGAGGAAGGGGTCCGGCCCGGCCTCTGACCGCGAGCTCTGGGGGTTGTCCGTCCGTCGCCTGCGGCCCAGACGCGGGTCTCGCGGTGTTCCTCCAGCCCGGGGACCCGGACTGGCTCCGGACTCGCATCCGGACTCGCACGCAGGGGACGAGAGCCCCGCGTCCCGGGAAGGGGCCGCACACCCGCCCCCGCCGGCCAGGCTGGCGCCCCGGCCCCGGCCCCGAGGCCCCGCGCCCGCATCGGACTCTATTCCGTCTCGAAAACGGCCCCTCCCAGCCGGCAGGGCCCGCGGCGGGTCTACACCCCTCAGGAATACAGACCCAGGCGGGGTTCGGTGCCTTCAAGCGTGCATGCGTGCGTGGCGTGCGTGTCCGTGTGCGTGCGTGTCCGTGCGTGCGCGTGCACGGGGACGCGAGACAGGGCGGCCCCCGGGGGTTCGGCGTCCGAAGTCCGAAAGGTCCGCAGGAGACGGAAAGGGGCGCTGGGGGGGCGCTGGCAGTAAAGGGGACCAGGCCCGCCCCCAAATCAGGAGCCCAGTTTGCCTCTGAGACCCCCCGAAATGAGGACGCCGTCGCAGCTGTTGCAGCCCCAGTTCCCTCGCCCGCGGGGGGCCCGATGGGCGGGAAGAGCCGCGCGAAGTCACCCAGGGCGGCTTAGGGGCGGGCGCTGCTCCTGGAGGGGAGGGGAGGGGGGGGAGGGGGGGGGGGGGGGGGGGGGGGGGGGGGGGGGGGGGGGGGGGGGAGGGGAGGGGGCGGGGAGGGGGAGGGGTGCGGGGCGGGCGGCACCTACCTGCACCTCTCGCGTGTGGTAGGCGACGATCAAGCCCAGGAGGATGACGGTGGACAGGCTGATCAGGCATTTCAGGGCCAACGAGAACATGGAGTCCTGCAGGAGAAACAGAGAATTAGGGTGACCGGGCAGGGGCCCCGGCTCGAGGGCCTCTGCCCCGCAGGGTTAGGTCCCGTTCTCCCGGGACGCGGCTGCGGGACGCACCACGCGGGCCTCCGCGTGGCTCGGAATTTTGTGTCCAGGCTCGTTGGCCGCGCGAGCGTGACTGCCTTCCGCGCTGGGTTACGTGGCTGGACACGAACGCCGGGCCCGCCTGGGCCTCTCGCCTCCCGAAGAGGAGGAGACCCCCCGAGGTTCCTTCCATCCCTGACAGCGCGGAGCTCTGTCGGGGCCGCTGCCGGCACCCCGACCTGAGGCCCAGAGCAGGGAGGGAAGCCGGGAGCGGCTGGACGGGGACGCGGGCTGAGCCCGGGGCAGGGCGGGGCCCCAGGGCGCCCTCCACCCCGCGGCCGGCAGCTCGCGCCCTGGACCCCGCCCCGCGCTGCGCCCCACCTCGGCCTCCGCGGTGTCCGATGGGGAGGAGCTTAGTGCGGCCTAGAGCGGCCGCCGGGAGGCGTCAAGCCGGCCGCAGGCACCCCACGGCCCTGCGCATTCGGGGTGTCCGGGCTGGGCCTCGCCGCCCTCCTGCGCACGTGGGAGCCGGGGCGACCCCGTCCCGCGGCCCGGAGCTCCCCGGCTTCCGGAGGCGCGGCGGCTCCCCGGGCGGCCTGGCGCGACTGACCCCGGCCGCCCCCGCGCGGCCCTCGGCCTCCGTCCCCGCCCCAACCACAGCGCGCCAGGAGCGGCAGTATTTCGAAGGCGAAGCCACGACGCAGCAGAGCTGGGCTCCAGGGAAGGAGACCCCACCGTCCCGGGGGCAGACGGGGGGGGGGGGGGGCCCGGGTCGGGGGTCGGCCGCACGGAGGCCCTGGGCGAGTCTGCGCCCGCGGACGCCCGCATCCGCGCTCCCCCCGCCCCGCAGGCCGAGCCGCGGGGAGCCGCCCCCTGGGCCGCGTCAGCCCGGCGCCGCTTACTTGGTACAACCACCGGGGCCCACTTTGTGCCAGGACGAGCCGGGGCTGGAGGCTCAAGGGCGAACCGACGAAGTGGCCACGCACTCCTCTCCCGTGGCCGCTTCCACACGTCTCACCTCGTGAGCGCCTGCCACGTGTGCCCCGCCGCGCTAGAGCCGTAGGGCGCCCCGGCCGCCGGGGGCTTGCGACGCGGCTCACACACAGGCTCCAGGTGCGGACACCGCGGGCCGGGGGTGTGCCCGGGCCGGTGTCCCCTGAGCCGCCGTGGTCCACGGCGTCACGTGCTGGCCACGCGTCCTCGGCGCCAGGGTGGGCACAGAGCACGCGGCCGGAACAGCCCCAGGGAGGGTCCTGAGACAGCGACCAAGCCCGCAGGCTGGCCCCGCGCTCGGACTGCCGTAGAAGACAGGCCTCCCCACAGGGCCGCCGGGGACAGCTCAGTGTTCTCGACTCAGAAGTGACCCTAACGTCTCCCTCCAAGGGTCTGCAGGCATCTGGGAAGCGTCAGGCCTTGGCTGGGAAGGGTGTGCGGTCAGCCGCACATTTCACCCCCTAATTTATTTGTTTTGGCAGAAATCACTAAAGTCAGAATCCAAGTCTATTTCCATCACTTCTAGAGGAAGTGGTGGAGGGAGAGGGGCCAGATGCCGTCTCCTCTCCTTTGAGTCTCTTCCTTTTGTTCTAACACTCAAAACCTTTACATAAGAGGCGACTTCCACCCGCGTGGCTTCGCTCAGTGGGAGCAGCGGGACCCTCACGGCTCCGCAGGCCTCCTCGCGCTCTCTGCCACGTGGCCATGAAAAACAAACCACCGGCACATTTGCTGGAAAATCCGTCAGAATGGCCAGACTAGACGGTTCCTATTTCTCAAAACGTTGAACTGTCTCCTTTTCTCTGCTCCCTGAACTCAAATGAAGCTTGAGGTTGATACAGTTCTCATTGGGGGGCACCTGCCTCCCCTCTGAGGGGCCACAGGGATGGACAGGCTGGGGGAGGGGGCCGTCAGCTGGGCGACCCTTGTCCCCTGCAACTCAGAGCTGTTCAGCAACGCAGCAGTGACCCTCATACACAGGATACTTAGGGACTAAATCCCAATAAATGGGCCATTTTTTAAAGCCAGTTATCTCTAAATGCTCAGCACCATCAGAGCGGTTCAATAATTTGGGAATAGCGGGTACCACGAGGTAGGCCCTGAAAACCACTCCTGTAGAGAATATTTGAACAGGAAAGGCTCATGACACATCAAGTGAAAAACTCACACCACAAAGCTTCATATACAGTATTTCCAATTATTTTTAAATGTTTAGGACCAGCCTACATCAAGGGTCAGAGCGAGCACACCACCCCCCCACCGCGAGAGGTATGCGAGCTCAGGTGGAGCCTGGGAGCCCTGTGTCCGTGCTCTGTGGCCCCTGAGCTCTGACTACAACAAGTGCTCAATAAGCGCTTCTTGAAATTACTGAACAGAACTTTTACTTTTCCCGAACATTTATTGAGTACCGACTGTGTACCAGGTCCCAGACTAGGCTTCTACACAAACCACCTCACATCCTCACCCTACAGACACCACCACAATGTCTCCATTTACTGATTAAAACAACTGAGAATCAGAGACAAAGTGACTTTTCCAAGGTCACACAACTAACCCAGATTTTAGTTATGTACCAGATTATTCTCTCTTTTTTAATGTTTATTTATTTATTTTTGACAGAGAGAGAGAGACAAGTATGAGCAAGGGAGGGTCAGAGAGGGAGAGAGGAGACACAGAATCTGAAGCAGCTCCAGGCTCTGAGCTGTCAGCACAGAGCTCAACGCGGGGCCCGGGCTCGAACTTACGGACCGCGAGATGATGACCTGAGCCACCCAGGCGCCCCAGGGTACCAGATGTTCCTAGTCTTTGCCCACTGTCTGACTTAGTTCAGCCATCCCTGCAGAGGCTGGCCACCGCTGTGAGGGGCCACGGAGGAGACTCATGGCAGAGTGGGAACATGTGCCGAATCCCTGCAAGGTGCCCCCAACCGCAAGCCAGGCCTTCCCAGACCCGTGGCCCCTCATCACAACTGCCTGCACGACAGTAGTACCCACAGCAGTAGCTTCGACCCACTTTTGCAGAGAAGGAGACTGAGGCTGGGAGAAGCCACGGACGAGGCGCGAGGCCTCAGGAAGCCAGGGCTCCTGCAGACTCAGGGCCTGGCCGTGAGCTGGCACCCGGTCTGCCCTGCGGTCGGGCCCTGCTGGCCCCCATGTCTGCGGTGAGGACCCTGCATGCCCACCAGCCCCGAGGCTTCGAGCCAGCCTCGTCGCTTCCATAGCGCCAGCACGTCAGCACTGCAGCACGTCTTCCCAGAGACGCTCAGGCCCTAAATGTGTTAGATCGTTTGGGGCATTTGAAAATCACAGAAAAACAGTCCCGGGGGGACAAATATCAGCCTCAACAAGACAGAGGTGTGAGGGCACCTCCCCAAGCAAGCTGATGGCCCCGAAGTGAGTGTGCGTGGCCATGTGAGTGTGCGAGTGTGCATGCACGTGAGCGGGAACCGGTATGCATGGGTGGCCTGTGACTGTGTGTGAGTGTGCGTGGGTGTGCACGAGCGTGGCTGTGCATGTGCACCCATGTGTGTGAGCGTGTGCACCATCACACATACGTGGCCCGCTCCCAGCTTGTGTCACTGGCTGGAGCCCCCGAGGGGAAGAGGCGACAGCGCGTAAGCTCTGCGTCTGCTGAATTCAGGATCTGTGTGTTGTGATTCGATCTGGGAAATAATGGAGTTGGAAATGTCTTCCTTCAGCTTCGCGGGGAGGCTCCGGGCTGGGCTGGCGCTCGGGCTTGGACACTGACTCACCAACGCCCAGCCCCCGAGAGCCGCCCCGGCCAGGCGAGCGGCCCGTCCTCGGGGGACAGCTCCTCTGCCCACTGCCCGCTCGTCGCCACAGCGCAGGCCCTTGCTGCCTGGTCCACGCAGCGTGGCCCCCGCATCTCTGTGCAAGGACGGCCCAGCCGGACTCCCGCCAGAACCCTACGGGGTCCCTCGCCGTCCAGGGTGGAATCACACCGACCCTGCGCAGCCCGGACGTCCGCGTGAGAGTGGGGGAGGGGGGCCGGGGGCCACCAGGGGGCTGGGACCTCCCCGCCTGGGTGGGGGCTGCTTCCAAAGCCAGGGGAGTCGGCTCACCCCTCTTGGCCTTAACCCCCAGCCAAGTGACTTTTGGCCAAACATCCCCGACTTCAGCGAAGCCTGACAGCCAGGGGCCCGAGCACGCAGGTCACGGGGACACTCCGGAAAGTCTTCCTTTGTCCCTTTTCCAAGCATTTCTGTTCGTGACACCACTCGTGCCGTCTTCTCCTCGGCAGAACGAGGCTGCTCACGGAGAGGGTTCTTAGGGTGTCGGACTACGTCACAGGGAGTTTGAAAGACCAGAGTTCAAGTCTCATCTTTGCCGCTCACTGGCTGTGTGACACTGGACCTGTCACTTAACCTCTCTGGCCCCTTCCTCTGCAGCCCGGGTCTCATAGGTGCTGGCGGTGAAGAGAAAGAGTAGCCAAAGGAACAAACTCTTTCTTCACAAACAGAAGCCCGTGTTTTTGGTGGCGGAACATGCCCCCCCCAATCGCCCACGGCCGGGACACAGGCCCTGAGCCCGGCCCATGGGACGTGCCTCTGGTGTCCACACCTCAAGGTCCCGCCACTTACAGAGCCACTCCCCCGGCCTTTCAGAAAGCACCCAACACTCGTGCCCTCCGGTCACACACGCACTGGGCCCCTGATCGCGGCCGGGCCTGTGCTGGGGGCCCCCCCACCCCTGCCCGCCGAGCCTGAATCCCACCCGTCAGAGGAAGGGGCAGGTGTAAGGGGGCTGGAAACGCCCAGCTGCAATGGTCAGAAACGGGCCAGAAGCCCGGGTGGAGAAGGGGCCCCTTCAGTACCTGGGGGGTGACCAGGGGATGTGACCCTGACCCTACATCCTGACCGGGAGGCGAGGGGTGCCCACAACACCCGATTTGCCGAGGCCACAGGCCCCGGG